AGAAATGTACCAAAATATTGATGGTGATTATTTCTAGTTTCTGGGATTGCAAATAGTTCTTATTTTTTCTACATATACTCCCCTGTCCCCACCCCCAAATTTGATCCAGTGTATCTGTTTATAGTTATAAATGAATGGAGAGGCTTTTAATCTCAGTTAGCGTTAAAGTCCATAAAATAGCATCAAGGGAGGCTCAGAAGGTTCATCTGCTAGGATAAGAAGCGGGTATGGCTCTGGTAGCTGCACATAACATGTTGACAATGCGTAGGAGCTTATTGAGCACACAATGCACAGTGTAACTCCTCCAGAGGATATAAAAGAAATGTCAGATTTGTCCGCACAGACTTTATCAGTTTGTTTTCCATTATTATTATTTTTTTAAACTAGAGATTGAACCAAGGGGCATTTTATTACACCCAGCCCTTTTTTTTCTTTTTCTTTTTTAATACCCAGGATTGAACTCAGGGTTGCTTTACCACTGAGCTACATTCCCCCAGCCCTTTTTATTTTTTATTTTGAGACAGGGTCTTACAAAGTTACTTAGGACCTGGCTTAGTTGCTGAGGCTGCCCTTGAACTCATGATCCTCCTGCTTCAGCCTCCCAAGTAGCTGGGATTATAGGTGTGTACCACTGTGCCCAGTTTGTTTTCAGTGATTTTTGTTCATAGTTTTTTTTTTTTTAATATCTTTCTAGTTGTAGATGGACACACAATGTCTTTATTTTTATGTGGTGCTGAGGATCAAACCCAGTGCCTCATACATGCAAGGCAAGCGCTCTACCACTGAGCCCCAGCCTCAGCCCCATAGTTGTGTTTTCATTAACTTGTATGGAGAGCACTGGACTCCTGAAAATCCGGGCGTTAACAACCAGCTCTGATGCCTTTGTTCTGATGTATTTGTCCTGCTTGCCACTGACAGGCAAGCTCGGTGCTTCTGGGTTGTCTCTCCTAATATATTTCAGGGTCTTTAACAATGGACCTCCTTAGGAAAATTTTTGGCAGGAGGCTCACCAACTCAGTCAGCTTTTCTAAAGCAGCAGCTTGAGGATGTTCAGAGCAGGAGGCAGGAGGCAGGCCTAGTAATAGATTTTATTCTGAAAGATGAGATTCAAACTACTTTGTTAGCTGAAGAGCGCTGGTTGTGAGGCTGTGAGGAGAACAATAGTGTTGTGTGAGTGCGCCGGGCAGGCCACACAAACCCAGCTTGTGTTGTTACGTTGCTTATGGCTTCTATAGGTTCAACCCCAATTGTCCCACCAAGGGGAACAGAAGGACATCTTCACATGCTGCTGAGCCCCAGTTGTATTGTCCTGAAGGTTCTTCCTCCCGCAGGTTCATATTTGATTTATTTAAGAGGGAAATAAAAGAGGAGGAAATCCTGATTGCTGGCAGCTTCCTTGAGAAAATTTTTTTTTTTTAAAGAGAGAGAGAGAGAGAGAGAGAGAGAGAGAGAGAGAATGAATTTTTAATATTTATTTTTTAGTTCTCAGCGGACACAACATCTTTGTTGGTATGTGGTGCTGAGGATCGAACCCGGGTCGCACGCATGGCAGGCGAGCGCGCTACCGCTTGAGCCACATCCCCAGCCCGTTGAGAAAATTTTTGAACAAGGGGTATGGGAACAGGCCGACTTCTTAAAAGTTGCAGATTTATAGGAGGCAAGCACATTTTTCTGATCAATGATCTCTCTCTCTCTCTCTCTCTCTCTTTCTCTTTCTTTCTTTTTTTGTAGTACGAGGGATTGAACCCAGAGGCACTCTACTACTGAGCCACCTCTCCAGCTCTTTTTAAAAATTTTTTTATTTTTGAGACAGGGTCTCACTAAGATGCTGAGGCTGACCTCGAACTTGCAAACCCCACTGCCTTAGCCTCCCAAGCTGCTGGGATTGCAGGTGTGCACCACCATGCCCAGCCTAACGGATCCCTTTTGTTTGTTCAGGTCTTTGTAGTTTTAAAACACTGTCATTTATATAACCTATTTTGAAGTAGGTGGCAAAGGGAATTCCTATCCCTATTTTACGTAGGAAGTAAGCAAGGTCAGTGGAGCTAAGTCATTGCCAGAGGTTACACAGCTGATCGATTGCAGGCATGTGACTCAACTTCTAACCTACCTCCTTTCTCTTTGATGGGGGCTTTTCCATTTTACCATGTTGAAAACACCCCCAAAAGGAGGAAAGGGAGGGTTGTGTGTGTGTTAGAGGAGGATGGGAAGTTAAAGAAACAGTAGGTCCAGAGAAGTAGGAATGTTTAGTTAAAATTCAGACCATCAGATTCCATATGAAATGCCGCAGTCTGGCTGGGCACAAGATCACGAGCCACTCACAGCAGTTCTTTATTCCCGAACTCACACGGCCCTCTACAAACATGTTCTGGGGAAAAATTCTCCGCCAGGCTTTGAATCCCAAATACTTTCTGAATTCCACTAGAACTCAACAGGAACTCAGGCAGCAGGATACGCCCTATTCCAAGCAGGAATAACCTTAAACCTGGAACTGCCCTAAACCCAGATTGTTCTAAACCAGGAACTCCCTAAACCCAAGGAGCGGGATATTCCCTAAAACCTGATCCGCCCTAATCCAATAGGATCCTCCTTAAATCCGGATCCACCCTGGTCCTCGAGCAGGGTCACCTTTCTCAAACATACATGCAATGTCACTCCAAATGTGCATTTCCACGAGTCCTTCCTCTAAGCAACATGGGGTACGCTGGCAAGGAAATTTTGATGCATCATTCCTACTTGGCAATGGCTCTCAGCAATGAAAAGCAAGAGTAGGGAGCATAAACCTCCACCTAACCAAGGGTAGTAACTCAAGGGGAAATGAGGAATCAGACTCATGGCAGAGGCTGTGGAGGGGTACAGGCAAGGGCATGAGCTTTGTGGTAGGAGTAGAAACTCCCGGTACAAGGGAACTGATAAAAGCAGATGGATTGCTGCTGTAGGGACAGGAAGAGAGGTGACCCTTTTCCTGCTCACCATGGAGAGTCATGGCTGACACCCCTGTAACATTAGACAGGCTAACAAGAGAAAAGTGTAACAAATCTATTCTGTATCATTTTATATGACACAGACCTTTTAGGTTGAAGACCAGAACTGCCATGGTAAACTATGCATTCTCAATCTTAAGTTCAGTAAAGCATGGACAGTCATGTCCATATGATAGGAGCTGGGTACCAGGGTGCACACCTGTAATCCTAGCTACTCAGGAGGCTGAGGCAGGAGGATCACAAATTTAAGGCCAGCTTGGTCAACTTAGCAAAACCCTGCCTCAAAATAAAAATGGTTGAGTGCCCCTGGGTTTGTTCTCCAGTCCTGGGTGGTGGAGAAGATTGGGCCAAAAAAGGGGGGTGCAGTCTAATAATGAGAGAGCATGAGATCCAGCCAGACCTGACTATTCCAACTCTTCTTGGCCTCTGTGTAGCATTTCTTCCTTTCTGGTATGGGGTCTTTTATGACCTACTGTCATAAGGTAAGTCAAAGAATTTCTTCCTGTCCAGCAAGGAGCGGGGAGCTAGAGTAGTATTTTTAAGGTCTTATGAATGACTTTGGGGAAAAGGGATTCTGGTTTCTTTGACTGGCTTTGGGGAAGAGGCTTGTTGTTGTTTTGTTTTGTTTTATTTTTAAGAGTCAGGGTCTCACCATATTGCCCAGGCTGACTCTGAACTCCTGGGCTCCAGAGATCCTCCTCTAGCCTCAGTCTCCTGGGGTACCAGTTCACACTAGGTAATCTGGGTGAAAAGAAATTCTAGTTTTCTTGGCTTGCCTGGGGATGGGTGGTGAGATGAAAGGTGAGATACAAAGGGAAAGATCAGGGAAAAACTTTGCTTTTGAGGCTGCTGCTAAGACCTTCACTTGGTGGGGATCATTTTCTGAACCCCAGCATTGGTAATCAGTCCTGGTCACTTGTGGCTGCCCAGCCTAAATTACCAGTCTGGATAACGCCTTTGAAGAAGAAAGGCCTTCCCTGCCTGTGAGCAAGCCAGGAAAGCTTAAAGTGCTAAGCCTTGGGCTGTAATGAGCTCTGTGGGCAATGATCCTTTATGTTGCTGTTCAAACCAGCTTAAGCTAAGACAGAATGTTTGGGTTCTTGCAACTAAAAAAAATCCAGATTAGGGCTGGTTTCAGGTGCATTGGCTTAAAAAAATACCAGCGAGGCCCTGTTTTCTCCTCTGCCTTCCACAGAGTTGCCTTCATCCCCCTGGGAGCCTCTTGGCCTGGGTTCTCCTATTTCTAAAATGATTGCATTCATTCCACTCTTCACAACAGCATCCCACACTGTTCCAGGAAAAGACCCTGAGCCAGCTCAGAAGAGGAAGGAAGCAGCTCTTCCCCACCAGTCCCAGCAAGCATCTGCTGGATTCTTGTTGCCTCTGTTTGATTGGCTTGACCAAGGGTTAGGACCCTCCCTGGAGTGAGGGAGGGGCCAAATTCACCAAACTGTCACATTAAAATGCAAGCAGCGGGCTGGGCTGGGGATGTGGCTCAAGAGGTAGCACGCTTCCCTGGCATGGGTGCGGCCAGGGTTCGATCCTCAGTACCACATACAAAGATGTTGTGTCCGCTGATAACTAAAAAATAAATATTAAAAAATCTCTCTCTCTCTTTAAAATAAATAAATAAATAAAATAAGATGCAAGCAGCAGCTAGGCAAGTCCCTGTAATCCCTGTGACTCGGGAGGCTGAGGCACGAGGATCACAAGTTCAAAGCCAGCCTGGGAAACTTTGCAAGACCTTGTCTCAAAAAATAAAAAGAGGGCTGGGGGTGTAGCTTGGTAGTACTGCATCTATGAGTACAATCGCCAATAAATAAATAAAAATAAAATAAAAATAAATAAATAAAATAAGATAAAATAAAATGTGACAAGCAGCTTTTAAAAGGAAATTTAGGGGCACTTTTCCTAGAAAGAAAGGCAATGTCTCAGTCCTCCATATCTGCTAAAGGAATAGGGAAAGAAATCTTGCTGGGTAGGCAGAGGAGTAACTGTTCCTCCTCATGGCTGCAGGTCGCCGTCTCCAATCTCAGCGAGGCCGTGCAGGATGCAGACCTGCTGGTGTTTGTCATCCCCCACCAGTTCATTCACAAGATCTGCGATGAGATCACTGGCAGAGTACCCAAGAAAGCCCTGGGGATCACCCTCATCAAGGTAACTGGTGAGCACACCGGGCAGGAAACTCGCTGCTAGACATTGGTTCCCAGAAGGTCCCTTTCCCTCTTTGATGTGCTTGAGATGTGGAGCTGGAGGGAGGGTGGTGGCAGTTTTTAGTTTTTTTGTTTGCATTTTAAAAGATGCCTAAAAAGGTGATTTTAAAAAATAAAGCAAACGTCCGAAGCCTAGTTTAGGCCAACTTCAAGCGCAAGGCTGCTTTTCTATGGTAGCAGGTGAGCAGCGGAGTGACATGAGGATGGCTGCCCTGATGAGCCCTGCTGTCAACCTGTAGCCCACTCTGGGGCTCCGCCTGCATCTTGGAGTCACCACTTTGCATTAGCTGGGAAATTGAATTGAATGGGAAATACCATTCCTGGGTATATGTCCTAAAGAAGGTGTTTTTTTTTTTTTTTAAACCAGAAATTCTCAAACCACCCTCAGAGCTTCGTGCATTTAATGGTGGAAAGAAAACCTTGTATTTTTATTCACTTTAACCTCTAACTGAAATGGACATTTAGAAACACAGCCAGTGTTTCAATAACAATATGTTCGCAGGACCTATGATCCTGTTGTCCGTTGAAGGGACTTTCATATCACATCACTTTACAACAGTTTTAAATCTCTCTAGATGCCATTTATGCTTGTTGCTTCTTGAAAATTATAATCATAATTATGAGCCCTGTCATGACATCTTTTTCTAGGTACGTTCATAAAACAGTGCATATATTACTTGATCACAAATTTGGAGTTTCACAAAAAATTTTGAAAACTATCTTAATATGATTGGCTTCCTAGGTAATCTTACATATTTTGTTTTTATGCATGGGAAATTTTAAAGATGAGCTTGTAAATTTCCACCACACCACTAGAGGTGGAGTCCAGGACATTTTTAAAAAAGTCATGAACTCCCTAAAGCGACTGTACCAGAATGTTCATAGGTGAATGTTTATGAAAGTAAACTGGAATAGCCCACATGTCAATCAGCAATAGAGTGGATAAATGAATTGTGAACTATTCATTTTGGAATACTATGTAGCAGTGAACAAGAAGTGAACCAGAACCTTCATGTAGCCACCTGGGTAAATCTCTAAAATAAGAATGTAGCACAAAACAGCATATCCCAGGTGAACCGTGCAATTCCATTTATATAGACTTTTGAAAGGAGGCATAAGGGCTTAAAATTGCTTAGGGCAGCTATGTGTGACAAAGTAATGAGGAAAAGCAAGGGCAATGCCTACTACATTCAGGGTAGTGGTTCAGTCTAGGGGAGGGGAGGGTGAAGGCAGAGACACAGGGGACTTCTGGGATTTTTGGTCATGTTCTATTCTTTTTTTTTTGTGATGCTTGGAGTTGATCATCATCTATTTCTTAACCTGAGTGGTGGAGACAGGTTCGTGTTACTCCCTTCAGCTTACTATTCTTTAAGCAGTACGGATGCAGTCGGTACATTTTCCCTTGTAATTAAGAGAGATTTTTCAGGTCGTGCATACCATTGGTAATCTAAATCTAGATGATTTATAAAGCAGTGACTCAAGCCTCTTTGATTTGGTGTTTTCCCTACTAACTTCTCGACATCCTCGTAGGGCATAGACGAGGGCCCCGAGGGACTGAAACTCATTTCTGACATCATCCGGGAGAAGATGGGCATTGACATCAGTGTGCTGATGGGCGCCAACATTGCCAGCGAGGTGGCTGCGGAGAAGTTCTGTGAGACCACCATTGGTAAGGGCTGCCCGAGGAAGGGCCCCAGGAGCCAGGCATTTGGTGCTTGAGCATGTCCATTTCCACTTCTGGTGTTTTCTATAGTGGACTCTTCTCTGCCCCTCTTATCTCTATGCTGGACATTCAGTGGAGGGGGTTTAATGGAAGGAAGACATTCTGTAGAACTGAAAGTCTTTCAACAACTTCCAGAAGGTATGTCAGGCCATGTGACCCCAAAGTTTAGACGAAGAAATGCAAGATTATTGGTACCAAGAAGCAGATGGCTACCATCATGGTGGAGATCTCTTGGGCCTTTGAAACCCAGTTGTTTCATTGCCCACAAATGCTAGTATCTGGGTCCTCGCTGATTCCAATAAGAATAACAACAGTAACAAATTGGGAATGGTCCTCATTTCCAGGTGAATAAGCCAAGTCTCAGAGAATAAGTTAACCTGCCCCAAGGTCACATGCTAGTATAGAACCCAGGCACAAATTTGGGTCTCCTATATCCTGAAATAGTGAGCTTTTTCTATTCTTACACATTAGGAAGTGGCGACATTATTATTCACACTGTGGTGTGAAAGTTCTCATTTCCTTTAGAGAGGGCTTTGGGGGATCTCATGCGCCTGTGGCCTGTGGGCCATATTAAAGGATTCATTGTTGGAACAGTAATATTATTGTATTTTTAGAAGCTTTGCTTATAAAGGTTCAATTTTTACCTGCCACCACAGAACTTGCTTCTACCCTTGTCAGATGCACTAGTAATGTGATTCATGAGAAAAGGAAGCCTGTAAGAGAGAGGCTGGGCTCTCTTGAATGAGATGGGGCATTGGGAAAGTGTAGCTTTAGATTCTCACATGTGTTCAGAGGTAGGGCAATTACAGTTTCGTGGCATTTTCCCTTTTATTTTTTGGTGGGCATGGTGGGAGTACTAGAGATTGAACTCGGGGGCACTCGACCACTGAGCCACATCCCCAGCCCTATTTTGTATTTTATTTAGAGACAGGGTCTCACTGAGTTGCTTAGCACCTTGATTTTGCTGAGGCTGGCTTTGAACTCGCGATCCTCCTGCCTCAACCTCCCGAGCTGCTTGTATTATAGGAGTGCACCACCGCCCCCGGCACCTTTATTTTTTAAAATATAGGTACTTATTTTTTCTACTCATGCAAACTATTAGTTTATCGTTAAGTCATATACTGTTTTATAATTGCTTTATTCACTTAATATACAGTTTTTTAAAGCCTGTTAATATAAATCTTCATAGCCACATCATATTTCATCAACAATTTCATATTTGGATATTTAAAAGTTTTTTGAGCAACATTTTTTGAAGAGCAGAGGTAACTGAACAGATGAAGAAGTTCAGGGAAATTGAAACTTTCCCTCTGTAGGTTTGCTAATCTAGTCTGCTGAAACATACTGGCAATAAATTAACATAAGAAAAAGGATGTGGGTGCATTGAACAGCACAGACAAAATATAAAACTCAAAAGAAGGGCCAGATGGTTGAGGCTTAAATACCCTCTTTGTAGGGGAGGAGGGTGGTGTCCCAATTTTAGAGGGGGAGTAGGTGATTTTTAGGGGAGAGACTGAGCCCAGAGAACCAACAGAGGCCTGGGATAAAGTTCCCCTGGGCTGTGGGTGTAGAGTTTGATTTTCTGTCTCCTCCTCTGTGATATAAGCTTAATCTTCCGTGGTTAATGGCATTTCAGTAAGGAGATTTGAAAGCAACTGTGTTCCTCTTTGGCAGATCCTGTCTTTGGATTGATGAGGGAATTTAGGGAAGCCCTTCCCTGTGTCATTGATCCCCAGGTCTCTTAACTTTTAAGTCCAAAATGGTGTAGTTTGGGGGTATCATTTTCTAAACCCCAACAGAAGAAGCCAAGAATGGTCTGTTTACCTGTGTAGGTATATAGACACAGGTTTAAAAAAAAAAAAAAGAAAAATTCAAACAGTATGAGAAAATGGAAAATAAGAACTAAGATTTTAATTTCCCATCAAACACCCTCTTCCCAAAGGGAATTACTTAGCAGTTTCTAAATAACCCTTCCAGAAAATAATTTATTTATACATGTACACTAGTACCTACCTACTAGTATAATTCACTGTCCATATACTTAACTAGTATATGTAGGTGTGGTTTATTCTTTCGTAGTTAATTCTATTATCCATCTGCAAATTTAATATAGCCTGTGAAATGATGTAATTACTTTTTTCCCCCCAAAAAAAGAAAACTGGCTGTTCCAACTCAATCCTATTTGCCAATAAACCTTTCCCAGTTGGTTGGAAATGACTGATTATTCGATTTTCCTATAAGCCTGGGAATTCATTTACAGTCCCTGATTTAAACCTTGTATCCACCTGCATATTTTGGCAGGATGTTCACCTTCCCCAGCTCCCCCTGTCAGCTGGAGGAAAGTTTCTGGCTGGGTGCATGAGGCCTTTTGGTTTGTCAAGACAGACAAATGCTCAGAAGTCACATCTCTTTGCCTTTGTTTTTTATTTGCCTAAGGCTTCTGTCTTCTCTGCGGGTTAGACTGTGCCTGACACTAGTGACCCAGTTACCAACCAGTCTGAGCTCAGCTAAGCAAAACGTTGGAAGTGAGGTAGAACAGGAAGGTGATATTTTAAAAATTGCTTTATATAACCTAGATTTTAAGATGAGGAAATATCAGACAAGCCCAAAGTAAGTGATGAGTTACAAAACAACCAGCCCACACTGTTCAAAATGTCAGTGTCGAGACTGGGACTGTAGCTCAGTGGCAGAGTGCTTGCCTAGCACGTGTGAGGCACTGGGTTCGATCCTCAGGACCACAGAAAATAAATAAATAAAGGTATAAAAATCATGTCAATATTTCAGGTAAATGGATGGAGAATATCATGCTAAGCAAAGTAAGCCAATCCCCAAAACCAAAGGCTGAATGCTCTTTCTGATAAGTGGATGCTAATCTATAATGGGGGGTGGGGTGGGGATGGGAAAAATGGAGGAATTTTGGGCAAAAGGGAGGGATGGTGGGACATGGGAGCAGGAAAGATGGTGATGAGGTGGACATTGTTATTCGAGGTCCATGTATGGCTGTACATATGGTGTGATGCTACACCATGTACAACCAGAGAAATGAAAAGTTTAGTACAATTTTGTACAATGAATTAAAATGCATTCTGCTTTCATATATACCTAATTAAAATTAATTAATTAATTTTTAAAATGTCAGTGTCATCAAAGACAACGAAGAGCTAATGGAGTGTCCCAGATTAAGACACTAGAGAGCCATGACAACCACTAGCTGCAGTGCAGGATCCTGAGTGGGACCCTGGGCTGGGAGGGATGGTTGCTGTAAAAATTAGCACTGGTGGGGCTGGGGTTGTGGCTCAGTGGTAGAGCGTTCACCTAGTATGTGTGAGGCCCTGGGTTTGATCCTCAGCACCACATAAAAATAAATAAGATAAAGGTATTGTGTCCAACTACAACTAAAAAATAAATATTTAAATTAAAAAAATAAAAAGACAGCACTGGGTGCGGTGGCACACACCTGTAATCCCAGCAGCCCAGGAGGCTGAGGCAGGAGGATCATCCATTCAAAGCCAGCCCCAGCAATTAAGTGAGGCCCTAAGCTACTCAGCGAGACCCTGCCTCAAAATAAAACATAAAGAAGGGAGGATGTGGCTCAGTGGTTAAGTGCCTCTAGGTTCAACTCCTGGTACCAAAAGAAAAAAAGAAAAAGCACTGAGTGGTTGGTGAGACTTGAATATGGATTAGATAGTATCATATCAACAGTGACTTCCACGTATCTGATAATTGCACTGTGATTCTCCAGATATCCTTTCTTGATGACCTTTGGTGCCAGCTAATTTTTAAATATGGTAGATTCAGAAATCTTGACCCACTGTGTCTTCTGTCAGGAAGAAGATAAATGGCCCAATTTTGAGTGTCTTTTAGATGTTCTGTCATGGTGAGTGATGGTGCCCCCTTGTGGTAAGAGCTCCCTTTGCTCTTGGGGGGTTTACCTTTAAAATTTGAGACTTCTCATTCCATAAAGGTTTTTCAAAGCCTATTATGTATCAGGCCCAGGAATATATTCAGGAAATTTCCAGGAAACAGGAACTTCCCAGCAAACAAACCTGAAATGGTAGGCAGAAATGAGGGTTTGGAGGGAGTTTTATTAAATCAGTGGATGATCTCTACAACTTGGTGTGACCGAGGATTTTCCTGTCTTTTGGTTTATGTTCAATTTGGGGGCAGCCCCTCACATGGCTCTTGGGTGCTGCCTGTACTGTGTAGGTGGCCTGGGTCCCTGCTTGCGACATGTGACTGGTAATAATAATAAAGTTAGTGCTTCCTTATTCATAATTAAAATAATAAATTTTAAAATGTACATTTGAGAAAATGTGAGGGTGCCGTACGTCAAGCCCATCTCTGATAGCTACCTTTACCCATAGCCACAGAGGAGCCCACAGCCCCTGCCCATATGCATGGCATACAGAGAGCTCACTTCTTTCTGCCCATTCCTCAGGTTGCTCTCAGCCGCAACTCAGGCTTCCAGCTGCAGAGAGCGGGATGAAAGTGGCTTGAGAAGGGCTTATCTGTGGTGCTCATGAGCATCCCTCCCATTGAGCAGAGGTGTATGGTGAGGTGGTGGAGAGGCATGGTACGGAGGTAATATGCTATGGTGCCAGTGTTGGTTTACCAACCACATAATGAAATAGTGTTGCACAGAATCATCTAGAAGGCCTGGTGGACTGTCCAAAAAGAGGAAAAGGACAGCTTGCTCAAACTGGCACAGTGACAATATATGAAAAAGGCAAAATTGGCTGAATAATCGATAACTGTAATGCCTGTAGAAGAGGAAATGGATTTCCATCTATTAGATGTCAGCATTTTAAATGTTTTATTATGGAACATTAAAAAAAAAAAGATAGGAAGAACAATACCATGAACCCAATGTAGCCATCACTCATCTTCAGAATGATTGATTCCTGGCCAGTCTTATTTCATCTACATCCCATCCTCTCTGTTTCTACCTCCCCTGGATGATGTTTACATTGTATCCCTTCTGACTGTAACTTTAATTGTTTGACACCTGCTTTTTTTTTTTTTTCCCTGCCTTGGAGGTGTAGAGGTCTGATTGTGATGTTTGTTTGTCGCTCATCTCCCCTCTTCCACACCTCAGATGTGGCATAGCATAGAGTTGGAGCTTGGGCCCTGGAACCAAAGCAGCATATGGGTTAGAATTTAGGCTGTCTCCTACTAGCTGGGTGACCATGGCAAGTTGGTAAACCCCTTTGGGCCTTTGTTTCCCTGTCTGTCTATGTAGAAGAGCATAATCATAACCATGCAAAGTCAGCTGACTCCATAATCATCTTATGTGATCTTTGAGTGTTGTTACAACCACGGCAGTTTTCATATGTGATTCTTCGCCCCCATCCTGAGAGTGCCATAGCATTTTTACTTCAGGAAACTGAAGCTAGAAGAGGCTAGATCAAAGGTCTGCAAACTTGTTTTCCTGTTGGAATGATCTAGGGAGCCTCAAAAATTATGGATGCCTGCTCCACTCCAGAGATTGTGATTTAATTGGTCTAAGATGTGGCCTGGGTGCTGGAGTTATTAAAGATCCCCAGGTGACTATAATGTGCAAGCAAGCTTGGGAACTGCTGGGCTCCTGGCTCGAGGCAGGCAGAGCCCAAGTCCTCAGCATGCTTTCTGCCAACTGTGTGGAGTCTTTGACTTGGGAACTGGAACTTCATTGGCAAGTCTTTTGATCCTGATTTCAGAGCCCAGGGGAGGGTGGATTTAGTGAGTCCCACCTGCAACCCACCAGCCAGAACAGGTTTCACATGAAGCTTTAGGTGTAAGATTAGTTTTGTTTTGCTTTTTACTCATAGGTCTCCAAAACAAGTAAATAAAGATAAGTATATGAAAACCTCTGAACTTTCTGCACAGTCCAGGAACTATCCCAAAGGAAGAGAGTATAGCAGGAACAAAAACAAGTACTCTTTGACTGCATTCCCATCTTCCAGAATTTAGGGGAAGCATTTGTGTGTGTGTGTGTGTGTGCGCACATACGCATGCACCCTCATTTGATACTAAGAATTGAACCCAGGGGTGCTTTACCACTGAGCTACATCCCCAGCCCTTTTTGTTGTGAGACAAGATTTCTCTAAATTGCTGAGATTGTCCTCCAAATTTCGATCCTCCTGCCTCAGTCTCCCAAATCTCTGGCATGCGCCACCATACCCAGCAGGGAAAGCAGATTTTAAAACCCATAAATGTTTCAAACCCAATTTTTTTGGGGGGGGGTGAGGATTGGGGGACAGTACTGGGGATTGGGCTCAGGGGCACTCAACCACTGAGCCACATTCCCAGCCCTATTTTGTATTTTATTTAGAGATGAGGTTTTACTGAGTTGCTTAGCACCTCACTTTTTCGCTGAGGCTGGCTTTGATCTCACGATCCTCCTGCCTCAGCTTCCCAATCCACTGGGATTACAGACATGCGCCACTGTGCCCGGCTACATACCCAATTTTGAGAAAAACTCTATTCACATTCAGTAAATTAAAGTTGTATGTCAAATTGTAAATGATGCTGGGGAATTACGGAATGTCTATTTTCTATTTCTGCTCCTATGCATTTTCTAAATTGTTTTGTGATCAACATGTTGCTTTTATATTAACAGGGTTTTAACCACTATCGGGTGTGAAGATGAAGATTAGAGATTGTTCCTAATTTATTTTTTTCCCCAACTTTTCAATAGGCAGCAAAATCATGGAGAATGGCCTTCTCTTCAAAGAACTTCTGCAAACCCCCAACTTCCGAATAACTGTGGTTGATGATGCAGACACGGTTGAACTTTGTGGTGCTCTTAAGGTAAAGTCGGCCTTGTCATTCACCCCGAGGAGAGGAGTTATTTGCCCAGGTTTGCATTATGGAATCTCACCCTGAAGAATGGGCTCTGTGTTTGTGCATTCTTCGGTGAAGAATGGTGAATTGAGAGCCTTGTTTATAAAACTTCCTGTTTTGCTGTTCCTGTTCCTCACTTATTCAGGGTTTGCTTTTACTTGTGTATATGGGGAATTGGGATGCTTTGTTGTTTGGGGTTGGTCGCATTCCCCTTTGGCTTTCCTGGGGTCTCACCCAGGAGCAGGTGATTCCATTCGTTCCTCTGTTTTGCCTGTTACCTTAAGCAGGAAACGGAACTTGCTCCCCCTGAATTCTGGGCTCCACTGGTTTGGTGGTTTGGCTGGTTGTTCTTTTCCAAGGAGGAAAAAAAAATAGTCTGCTATTGAGGAGAAGTTTTTTTTTTTTCCTGAGAATAGTTTTACCATTGCCCTTGAGAGAGAAAAGATCCCGGTTAAAGAAACAACCTCAATTGGCCAGTGACTAGGGAGTGTCAGAGACAAAAATTACAACAAATTCCGTGATAGACCCATGGGCTTATGTTTGAGTCATGCACTGGGGCAGCCAACAATATTCTACAAAATAGTAAGTGCTCCCACAGAGCCGCAGTGGAACAGTGGGCTTTTGTAAGGTGGACACAGAACAATAGGAAAAAAGCTAGGTTGAGCAATATCAGGTTACTGTAAGTTTCTTTTTTGTAAGTTTTAAAACAGAGATGGCTTCCTCATATTTTCAGGGGGGAGAAAAATGGGTCTGTTTTGGGATCTCTCTCCTTCAAGTTTCAGTTTGATGTGGCATTTAACACATCTCCAGCCCTTTTTGTTGTGAAACAGGATTTCCATTTTAATTTGGCCTGGTCTGTGGGGCCTAGTGCAGGAGTTCAGTCCACAACAATTTTTAAGTAAATAGAGGTAAAGGAAAAAATGTCCACACCTGGGCTCCCGACTAGCCCACTACTGCCTTTGAAACCTAGGTCATGATCTCTCTGTCTGTCCTGACCTTAGGAAACAGCTAGGAGTCAGCTAACAGTTCAGGTTATACCAGAAGAAAAAGGAAAAAAAAAAAAAAGAGTTCTCAGTATGAACCCTATTTGGTTCACTTTTTTTTTCTTTTTCTTGTAGTACTGGTAATTGAACCCAGAGGTCACTCTACCACCGAGCTACATCACCAATCCTTCCAGGATTTTTTTCTTTCTTTTTAATTTTTTGGACACATGGGTCTCCCCAGGTTGCTGAGGCTGGCCTCAAACTTGCCATTCTCCTGCCTCAGCCTCCCTGGTTGCTGGGATTAGAGGTGTGCACTACCATGCCCAGCTTGCTTCCAAGTCGTCCCTTTCTTTCTAGAATGAATATTGTGTGTGTCTGCATCCTCATGATATCCAATGAGCATTTAAAAAATTAAAACCAATTACAGACTTGGGCTCCCAGGCAGCACACGTACGCATTTCTAAATGCGTCCATATTTCTAAATGAATGTGTGGGTATTCTTCCCATTATGTGCAGGCCCTGTTAGGCATTTAAGATGCTGGCTTCAGATGCTTTGTTTATTTTTGTTGCTTGGGATTTTTATGTGTTTTTAATAGTCCCCCATTAAGCTAATGACCACTTGACAGCAGCAGGGGGCATCATGAATGCCTAATTACTCAGCACTGGCCAGAGTTCCAGAGCTGTTTTTGAGTGACTGGATGTTTTTGGTGGTCAATGGAGAAGCTGTGAAATCCTGATCAGTGCAAAGAGTGCTGGATGAAAAGATTCTAGATTGAGGGGTTCTGGAAAAGCTTCTGCTAATGGGAGGCCTTGCTGGCCTTGTGTGTGAACTTAGAATGACTTTTCATTTTTCCTGGCAGGAAGCCTGTAAGTGGATTTGTTCTTGTTACCATGATAGAAGGTGATTGATAGAGTGGAGGCAGGCAGAGCTTGAGGGCCACTTACTGGTGTTGCCCCTCGGGTACTCTTTGAAAGGAGATTAGCTACCCTCATTCCTATGGTCCTGCATTAAAGTTGTTTTTTTTTTTTTTTAAATGAAAAATAGATCCTCTGGCAGTTATTGCGTCTAACCATTGTGTCATACAGATAAGGAGATCAAGATCCAAGGAGTGAATGACTGGAGGGAGGGTGGCAAATATTGGCACAGTTGGAGTCAACATAGGTTTCGAGAACCGTAGTCCTGTGTTTTCTATGGTTACTATGTACAACTTGACTTTTCTGATTCGTATCTAAGGACTGTAAATAAAATGAAGCCCTCCTCCATCAGAACGTGCCAAGCAAAATGATGACCATGTGTTGCTCTTATTGTGCAAATAGGAGTTCTCTTGGGTTTTCTTATGATGAAAGTAGTCGTATTCATTCTGTCTCGTACAACAGATAGGTAGAGAGAAGAAAGTTGAAATCCCTCTGCTTCAGTCTTCTGAGTAGCTGGAATTACATATGTGTACCATTGGACCCGGCAGTACCTAATCATTTTTGTACACAAAACCATGAGGTCATTTAACTTACTGAAAAATAAAAATAGAAACATTAAAAGCACTCCCTATGTGGATAAAATGAAAAGAAAGTTCAAGGGGGTTGTGCATAATCATTTTATACCAAAGCATCTTACTACCTTCAGCACATCTTTCACCTCTGAGCTATGTTAATCTTTTAATCAGAAAAGAACATATTCTTTTTTTTTAAATTTTTTTTTGGTTATAGAATATCTTTATTTTGTTTATTTATTTTTATGTGGTGCTGAGGATCGAACCCAGAGGCAAGTGCTCTACCGCTGAGCCACAACCCCAGCCCCAGAACATATTCTTTTTTTGTTTTAATTAACTTTGTATAAATGGCATTTGTTTTGACAGTAAATATTATCAAAAGACAAAATGACAATAAATTTAGTTATAGGTCTAATTGGCTTTCTTTTGTGATTCATGAATATGGGCAGCCTCCATTCCACAAAATACCATGAGAGATTCCAGAGGCAGGACAATGCGTTTTATAGGTCAAATAAATAAATAAATAAATAAACAGATCAACAGAGAGAAACCTGATTGGTTAACATCAGGTGACTTCAGGTTTCTTGTTTTTAAGAGTCAAAGCAGAGGCCAGGTATGATGGCACATGCCTGTAATCTCAACAGCTTGGGAGGCTGAGGCAGGAGGATCACAGGTTCAAAGCCAGCCTTAGCAACTTAATGAGGCTCTAAGCAACTTAGTGAGACCCTGTCTCAAAATTTAAAAAGTTAAAAAATGTGAAAAGGGCTGGGGATGTGGTTCAATGGTTAAATGCCTCTGGGTTCAATCCCTGGTTACCACCCCCCACCCCAGAAAAAAGTTAAAGCCGAGAAATCTCCTGTTTTCAGGGGGGAAACTTTTTTGTTTCAGTTTGATGAAGTGGCATTTAGCATGAGTGACTCTGTTTTGGTTTGCTCTGGTCTTTGGGGACCTAGTGCAGGAGATCAATCCAAAACCATGGCCTCTCCTGACTGGTAGATTTGTACACAACAGAGCATTTCCATTCACCCCAGACAATACCATGTGTAGTCCCCACTGCCACACTTCCCACCAGGCACCACTAATCTGCTTTTATACACTATAGTTTTACATTTTCTAGAATTTTTATAAATGGAGTCATACAGTATTTATTCTTCTATGGCTGTCTTCTTTTCGTGGGGTGTAAATTATAAGAAGTACTAATACAGAGAAGTACAAAACTCAAAGTGTGTAGCCGCTTTATCAGGACGCAGATGAAACTTATAAAAGAGACGCAAAATAATAGCAGCTGAGCAAGGTAGAAGGTTTTCTTTCTTTCTTAATATAAACATCCAGAATTCACATGACCAGCTCTCTCCATAGAATCCTAAGGGACCCAGGCTCTTTCAGCCTCCCTGGCATATGGCCTTTGTCCTCATGTTCTGAAAGGGTGACTCTGTTACTCTGGAAGAAGAGAATAGATTGGGATAAACCAGCCAACTGTGCCATGGATTCGTGGGTTCCTCCTTGTGGCTCTTCTGTGGTTCTGACTGTGGGGCATGGAGGTTGCTCCAGGGCACTGGCCATGACGCACCGTGCTTGGCCTTGTGCCTGGTCTCCAGTCAGGGCCCATGTAGACCCAGCCAGGCCTTTGTGTGAATGAGCAAAATCTGCACAGTTCAACAGCGTGGCTGCTAGCCGTATGTGGAGATTTAGGTTTAGATTCAAATTAAGTAATAATTCTTTCCACAGAAAGCAATTTATTTGTTGCTTTTAGAACAAATAAAGATGCTGTCGTAGCTTTTCTTTTTTTATTTTTTTGGTGAAGAAAGTGCTTTTGGCAAGGCATATGGATGCATACCT